ATTCCTGCTCAACAGGCTTTACATATTAGGATCAAAAGGGGAAAAGAGGATTTTGTGCAAATCAGTACGAAAAGATCTTTGAAAACCTTGCAGGCCTGTACCTTCTCCAACTGCACCATTCTTAGCATTCTTCTTTTTGCGACGTCCAAAACATGGGCAGCAGTCACAGGTTTCCATCTTTGGGCGCTTTGGATCTTTAGGAGGGTCATAGCCATACAAAGCTTGCCTTTTGAAAACGCATCCTGTGCCCACATACACTGGACCCTGAATTCCATCTAGACCCTTCATGTTAATCTGCAGGTAACACAGGGAAAAGAAACATCATCTTACTTTTCACATGCACAGGTTATGAGAGCATACACACGGGGTTTTCTTAGTCAGGGATTTACATCAAAGAAAACAGTGTTTCTGTTGGCGTATCGATCATGTGTATCAATGCCATCAAATCTTTGAGGAAATTGCACGTAGCAAACTTTCTTTCCAATCTGGGGGTCCATCAAGAAACACATAGCCTCTCGAACGGCCTTGCTATTATTTACATAATGGTCGCAATCCAAGTTCAGCATGAAAGGAGCATTGGTAAGTACTGCAGAGACCCGAATCTGAAAATTGCGAGAAGTCGAGAGGTATCACATAAAGCAGGCCTTTCAAAGATGAGGGAACTTAATGCATGTAAAATAAATATTTTTTTCTCAAGTTTATTTACCAGGGCATTCATGGCACCGGCTTTTTTATGATGTGAAAAACCAGGCCTCTTCTCTCGAGATACATATACAAGGCGAGGGAGCTCGTTCCCTTCAACGTCATGTCCTCCACTGTGACCGAGAAATACTTGAATCATACCAGGGTGATCCCTCGTATTGTTTCCAGGCCATGGTGTTCCATCTTGCATAATCCACCCCTCTGTAGGAACCTTCTGTGCTTTTGCTACAATCGCATTTATCCGAACCTTGAATTCTTCATATTCTCTCTGTCAAATACCAAAAATATCATAGAATCTTATCTAAAATAGGTTGCTGGAACTTAAAAAATCGATGAATTCTGTGGATGTCGATGCGAATTACAAACCTTCATAGCTCGGCGTTCCTTAACAAAGGTAGGCTGAACTTTGTCCTTGAGATAATCAACCTTTAGAGTGAAGTAAAACTCAGGGGCACGTGGTTCTATGTTAAATTTCTTGCAGAATGGCACCCATTTTCGAGCAAATTCAGCTGTTTCAGACATGGTTTCAAAGGTGCACATTGAAGCACCATCGTCAGATAGGTAACATGAGATCTTTTCAACTGGATAGTCCATGGCCAAAATTGATAAAATTGTGTTGCCCGTGACGAGAGGGGGTTCTTTCATTGGATCCACGGTACTGACAAAGATATCCACTGGAGCAAGCATATTGGGCTCGCCTTCCTGCTCATACCTGCGTTGCAAAAATTATTAGCGGTTTGTTCCTTATTTCTTTACATTGCTTTATCAGTAGAAATAATTATCAGCTGAGATAATTCTGATCGGTGTTCTTTCCAAACATAAAATCTCCGAAATTTTAGTTTTATATACTAGTTTGAACATTCTATGAACCTGAGAGAAAGGCGATCCAGATAAGTCTCGCGATCGATTGGCAACCACTTGGGAAATTGATCAAGGATCCATGAAATAGCAAACCAGATTTCGCAGACTATAGATGTCAGCCAGAGCCCAATTGCATCATGCACCGGATGCAAAATTCGATAGCGAAGAAAGACGGCCAGTATGATTAGCCTAGCAACAATAACCATTCTATACGGATTGATCTTGCTGGATGCAATAGGAACTTTCCTGGAGAGTGGCTGTCTTGCATCTTCTAACCTGCAATAATGGTTTGCAGCATATCATTCAATGCCAGCTTGATGATTTCGGTTTAAGGCTAATTCATAGTTACAAAGATGGCAAGACTGGTCTAGGCATTTCCTACTAAAAGATGGTATATAGAAGCCGGATACATACATGGCTGCTTCTGCATCGTCATCTTGTTCAGGCCCCAGATTTCCTTGCTGCATTTTCCACTCGTCCATCCGCTCTTTCCACCCTCCCTCTTTCTTTTCGTCCCATCTTGCACTTCCTGTTTCGTGCAATACATGCAAATCATGTAATATTAATCGAAAAGGTGATTCAGTTAATCATTTTAATCAATGCTTGCGATGAGTAAATACCAGGTTCAGAAACTGGATATGGGTGCACTCTCTTATGAAGTGAAGAAGATAGCATCTGTTCTCCATGAGATCCAATGGAGAACTCTCCACTCACCTGCACAGATGTTTAAGCATTTTCTTAAAGTCCAATTAAAAAAATGTCAAACAAATCCATTGAATTGGAATCAAAGAAAAGGACCAGCACACTTACAGGCCTCGATCTGATTCCAGTTATAACCGGTGGGAATTGGCTATTTTCTTCATCATCATGGCCTCTTCCGTAAGTCATTTTCCCATGAAGCATTGCCTCAGTGAGATGCTTATTCTTGTCTTGTTCATCTTCAATGATGAACTCATGTTCAATATCATCCACATCATCTTCTTCATCATCTCCCTCCACCCTTGGACTCCCTAGACAGTTTTTGAAATAAAATCAGATTGAGAATCCCATGCCAAAACAGAAAAATTATAGCTTTGGACTTGTATATTTTACCTTTGAGACGCTTGTATCTAGTCTTGCACTGGGGACAGTTTTGAGTCCCTTCTCTTCTTTCATACTCGTAGCATGGTCTACACACAGGAAAACCACACTCATTGCAAGCCACAAACAAATCACCATCCACAGTTAGGCCAATCTCATCGCCACAAATCTCACAAACTTGACCATCCAAGTTCTTCAAAGGTTTATGCTGCACCAAAACAAAAACAAACCCAAAGAATTAATAATGACGAGTCACTGCATGCATGGTTTCTTGTGATTAGTATCTTGCTGCTTTTTCTTGTTTAAAGTTTGTTTGTTAGTATTTCTTACCTCTTCATGGCCATGAATGACAACAAGCTCGTTGCGGTTGTGAGAGCCAGCGACCAGTCCAGCGCTAGCTTCCATGCTGAAGAATGGAATGGGTTGAGAGAGCTACTGGGCGGATGAGAGGGAGTGATGTTTCTTCTTTATGAATGGAAGGGTAGGGTATGGAGAGTTGTGCTGTATATCTTGCTTTCACCTAATGTGGCCAGGTAAGAGTACCGGTGCTGTGGAAGTTGGTTGCAGAGTCGCCATTGCCTTGAAGTTAAGCTTCGTCTTTTTTCAACCACCATGTCCTTCTCTCATGCCTTCTTTTTCAATGACTAACTTGGTGTGTGTGTTTTGTATCTATAGTTTTTGGAAAACATTTCTTCATCATTTAATTAATTTCTATAAGAAAAAAAACTTGGAAAATGATGTACATTTTACTCTACTACTAATTATTAATGGTCTCCCTTTATTTTATATTGTATTTTGTGCTATTTATATATTGCTTCTCCAAGCCTTTTTCAGTACCTCTAACAAGTCAAAAGATCATGCCACTTACATGGATGTGTTTCTGCTTTGATTCACCAGCAAATAGAACCGCTTTCTATTTAGGAATATAAAAAAAACCTAAATATTATCCATTTTGATTGACACCCCTCAAAGAATTTATTTTTTTTA